AAAGCTTTTTCCGCAGCGTAACCGATGACAACAGCGCGTCCACAGCGCTCGAACGCTCCACAGCAACTATTTGTTATTACAAAAGGCGCATACGAATCTCTGCTGCACAGATACACGTTGTTACACGCACACAGGCACAAGCTCACACATGTTTGCCTGGTGTGAGTGTCAACAAAAGTTTTACGCTAGAGAGAAGTCAGCAGCTGTGTCTGCGGCAGCTTTTTGATGCGCAGCCGAAAAGAGCGAACATAATAAAAAGCTAAGAGAGCGGACAATTCGATGCTGCCAACTTGTGTGAAAATTAAGGCGCTATTTTATTAGCTTAAATTTGAGTATTTTTGTTTTTGTAACGGTTTTTTCTTTTAGCAAACATATGAAAATATATGTTTTTGACAAATTTATTAACCACGCAATGGGTTATCTACCAAAAAACGCGACACCTGGCTCTAATTCGAGCAGTGTCGCAGCCAAATGTGCTTTTGGCTGTCACCAAAAAGATTGTTTCCCCAACGTTGCTTTTAACGGATTGAGCGCTAAAATCCCGTTAGTCCAAATGTTGTCAGGCCAACTCAAGACGATGATGAGGACGAGTCCGAGCTGCTGGAGCTGGAGCTGGAGTCGCTGCTGTGCCCATGCTTGCGGCGTCGCGACTTCTTCTCATCTATAACCTCATAGCTGGGCAATGTGGAGTTGCTGGAGTCCGAGCTGCTGCTGGTGGAGCTGCTTGACTCCTCAATAACTGCCTCAATTTTTCTTGATTTTCTAAAAATAGTATATGAAATGCGAAAGTATTTGAAAAGTGCTGCTTGTCACCTACTTTTTGTCAGCCTTTTCAGCATTTTTGGCTCGTTTCTGTTTTTTAATGTTCATGGGATCGCAGTCGCTGGGCGAGCTGCTGCAGATGCGCTTTGACTTCTTGCCCTTTTTGTCCTTGTTACTAGCCTTGGTCGAGTACAGATTCTGTGAGCTGGCAGTGGAGTAGCCCGTATCCTTGCGCTTACGCTTTTTTCTGTGTAAATTGCAGTATACATCAGGTGATTTAAGGTGAGTTTAGATATTTTTACTCACTTGCCCTTTTTGTCGCGCTTCTTTTTGCTGTAGCTGGCTTCTGGTTCAACGCAGTCTCTATCCTTGGCTCTGGTTTGAGGAAAAGGAAAGCGAACATGTTTTATTTTGGAATTTCCCCTATTTGAGTACTCACTTCTTAATCTTCTTTTTGACCTCCCCGCCACGCTCATTCGATATCATATAGATGCTGTTCTGGTCCGCGTCGTGAACCCGCCGACGCGACTGATACTGACGCGCCTTGGCCATGCGACTCTCGCGTCGATTCTTCCAGAACTCCGCATTGACCACATACAGGCGGTATAATTGCAGTATAATGACCAAGGAGTTCTTGCCTGAAACATGTCAGTTGTAACCGATCGTTGCCAATGCATATTTCTCTGATAACTCACATGTGAAAAATACGTTCATGTAGTTGATAATCTTGTATTGAAATATAATCAATAGACGAAATGTGAGAAACGGCGCATCCTGCAGAATTACGTTTAGCACTATGCCTGTGGAAAAAGTTATTGCATATATGTATATCGAAATATTATATAATTATTATTATTTTTACTGTACCCCACACATCGATGCCACAACAACAGTTCTGGCAGCAATCCGTCTGGCTGCAACATATTAAATATTATTATCAGTTGGACAGTAGATGATAGATGTTATATATACGACTTACTCCTCCTTGTGATGAGAGCCACTGCCTCGTGGTCGTCTGCCCCTTGTGGCCGACAGCACTATGGTAAACTGCATGAGACTCCAGGACCAAATGCCCAATGTGAGAAAGACCAGGAATCCAATGCGTGCTATGGAATCATCTTTGTAGGAGTCAAAAAACTCAATGATATCGGCCGCCGTGCCAATGTAGACCAACAGCAGCTGGCTGAGCTGGTCGCGTGTTAGGTCTCCCTTGGGCAGCAGCCAGCGGCCCACAATCAGGATTAGCATGAGAAACTGTTCAATGAGCGTCGTCCAAGTGTCGGGGCTTATGACGGGCAAAGTGATCCCAGCATCATCCAGCAGATCGGCCACTGGCGCAATGGCGCTGCTGTTTGTGCTGGTGGTGCTGTGGCTGGTGCTGGAGCTGGTGGTGCCGGCGAGGCTGCTGTCATTGATGCCAATGCTGGCATTTGCATTGGCTAGCGAGGCATTCATCAGCAGCAGGCGCCGCTCAATCTTATCCAGTTCGAGTAGCCAAATGGCCGGCACAATGCTGCTCAGATACAGAAAAACCGAAGGGCAGAACCTGTATAAGACAGCAGAGGGGCATCAGGAGAGATGGTGCAAAGGCAAATGTCCAAAACAAACAGAAACAGCAACAGCAACAGTCAAAGTGATGCGCCCCGCGCCAAAAGGTAAACAACTAGCGAAAGACACTAACTAAGGACCTGCTGCGTTTGGCAATGACCGCCCACCTTCGTGAAATTCCATTAAAGTTTTTTACTACGACGGCGCGTGGGTTGTGGCCTGGAGGAGTGGTCTTCGTGGTCACTCACTATGAGTTGTCCGCGAGGGTGGTTGCTTGCCACGGGCACACACATTAAACACATGATTTCACTTTTAATTGAAAATCAAAGCCCCGAACATGACGTCAACCCCAGCCGATTATTGTTTACATTGCCACAGGCACTACCACATATACGTGATTGCCCCAGTATGCATAGCGGACAGGATCTGCTGACTTACCAGCGCCATTCCTGCGTCTTCTTGATCATGATGGTAAAGATGCCCTCGAGCAGCAGCAGCAGCAGTGGCCCGCATAGCGTCCAATAGATGATATCCTTCTTGAATGTGGTCACCTGCCAAATGGCCAGCAGGCTGTGGGCGCTGAATATAATGCGCGTTAGAATGGCCTTAATCGTTGATATTATTTTGGCCATGATCACATTATCGACATAGTACTTCCTTCAGCGACTGCTAACTATGCAACCGTTAGTCGCAGCTACTAACAAGGCCAAGAGAGCCGCTCCACTTCTAAACGAACCGCACGCAGCGAGGCTCCAAACGCAACTAAATTGACCAACAGTAAAAATCGCAAGCCAAATGCTTTCATTAGATGTTTAAACGCTTTTTAAGAAATTAAGGACAACGCAGCAAATGGCGCGATACATAAACGCGAGTAATTGGTGAATGGACGTTGCTCGTCTCCGTGGTCGCCCGCTGAAACCAAATACTTTGACTTGGGAGCCAAGCAATGTGCTCAGACATAATGTCAGTTAAATTGCCAATACATAATATGTATTTCTTCGATGCATATTAATGGGGCAATTATTTATTTCTGAATTAAAAATTCCTGATGCCGTAGGTATTTTATATATGGTATTTATTTTAAAATTTTGATTTGGCTAGGATAACAATTAAAATCATCTTATAAAACATATTTGCAATTGCTGGCTGTGATCCCATTTGGGCCCCGTCTTGCTTAAGGTTCGGCCCTGTGAATGACTTTCGAAATGATTTTAAACGCACGCGTGCCACGTACAACATGCTCCTGTTAGGATGGCCAAAAGTCACATGGCCGTTAAATGCTTTAGTCTGAGCTGTCTTTCAGAGGGTCGACGACTGACCCAGCCCACATTAGACTGGCTGACAAATGCAATGTAAACAAGTCGCGAGAGTAAGAGCCCCAAGCCTTGGCCATCAAAACTGTGGGCATGTGTAGCTAGATAGCCAACTTATGGTTTCCATTAAAACTACCCCCCAGGATTTTACTGATGTTTACGTTTATATGACAAGAGTTAGGTCAATGTTTTTGTGCACGTGAAGTAAGTGAAGCATTCAATGAGAGAACAGCATGCGACCAACTGTTGACGGTTCATTTTGGCTTCTTTGATCTTAACACTGTTCATAAATCTACTCATTAATTACTTTCAAAAGTTGTAGTATGGCGCCATTGGAAGATTTGATATGCATTGCGTTGCCAGATCACTCAACTAACGTGTTTGCAAGAGAAAAGCATTGCCACATGTTAAGCATGAAGCTATCGATAGTTTTGTTTAGTTATCGCTTATCGATATAGCGCACGACTCGTCTCTATAAGCATAATAACAACAGAACACGTGAAATTTATTTAAAATTGTAATTTTACCTTTTTGGTAGTTAATAATGGCATCTTCAAGCGAGTCTTCGGCAGCGTCAGACCACGAGGAGAGTAGCGAGGACGAGACACGGGTAATTTCATTAGTGGAAAATGCCAAGTTAAGTTAATTCAATTTTCGCCCATCCCCAGGGTGTGATTCGCGAGGATCTAAAGAACATGACCCTTGAAGAGATAATGCAGCTCAAGGAAGAACTGGGCGCAAAGGTCTACAAGGAGGCGGTGCTAGGCAACAAAAGAGTCAAAGAAAAACAGCCAAAAACAAAATTAGATCTCAAACGCTTGAATAAGAATCGACCTAGGGAAATAAGTGCAAAGCGGCAGGTGCCCTTCTTGGGCGCGGAGCTGCGTGTGGAGCGTAAAAAAGAGGACGTGCTCCGAGATCCACGTTTCGACGAAAGCTCCGGCACCTATAACATTGATACGTTCAAGCAAAACTACAAATTCATCACGAAAATACGCGACAAAGAAGTGGGCCAACTGCAGAAACAGCTGGACAATGTGCGGGATGACGAGGAAAAACAGAAAATCAAGCACACTATGCAAAGGCTCGTTAATAAAAACGTGGAGGACAAAAGGTGGCATATCAAGCAAAACTTATTGAAGAAGGAACGCCAAGAGATACAAAAAGCGTACGAAGAGGGTCGCCAGCCGCACTATTTGACCAAGAGTAAGTTAAGGACACATTATAATCGACGCCAGGTATTTAAAATTTACATTGCAGAGGAAAGGCGTGCCAGAGAATTGGTTGCTCAATTCGAACTATTGAAAGATAGTGGAAAACTGAACAAACATCTGGAGAAACGACGCAAAAAGAACGCCGCAAAGGATCGCAAGAGAATTAGCATAGAATAGATTTCTTAGTTATAAATGTATTTTAACAATATAAAAATGTTTTTATATAGTATATTTAGCCCGTTCGCAGCATCTTAGCCTCGCGTTTTTCCTGCAGCTCGCGTCGCTGGTCCTCGACAATAACTTTGCGCTCCTCCAGAAATTGGGCATATTCCGTGGGATCCAGATCGCGCACCACTTTGATGCCGCATGTCCGTGCAATGCTAATGAGCATTTCACACATTTGCTGATGAAGTACAAATTTGTAAAAAAGATTTCATTATTTGGCTTTAACTTACCTGCATGGTAAGCAACGCATTAGGCGGATCTTGTATCTTGATTGCCGCAATTTCATACAAATGCTTTAGGGTAATCATGCCGGCCACCTCATGACCCGGTGTCATTGTGCCCCGCTGGATGCCCGCGGCTTGCTTAAGAAAAAATGTTGCAGGTGGATGATGTATGACCAAGTCGTAGCTGCGATCGCTGTTCATTGAGATCCGGCATGGCAGGGGTACGCCCTCCTTCATTTCCGCTGTTTTCGCATTGAAGTCTTTACAAAAGGCGGCTATATTGATGGCACGCTGTCAAAATATTTTTTTTATTCAAGTACTAAGCTTAGAGAAATAGCAATTTTGAACCCACCTGGCCTAGCATGGGACCCAACGGTGGGCCCGCTGCTGCCATGCCGGCGGGAATATTTGTTCTTAGTTTCGTCGTATGCGTCACGCGCTCCACTGTCTTCTTCAGAGATTTTAATTTACCCGCCGCTTTTGACATTTTAATTGATTTAGTTCGGTCTCAATTTCAGCTTTCGGTTGTTATGCAAAGAGATCCAATGCGATTAGAAAGAGGAAGAAAAAACAGCTGTTGGCGGCTTACTACCGAGTTATCGGATGCCAATGCAATATATCGATATTAGAATAAGTAAATAACAGTTTTTATCAAATGCTATAGAACAATTTTAAAATCTCTTAACATTCTGTTATAATCGAATTCTGTATATATCAACTCAAGACTCTTCGACAGCATAATTTAAAGAAGACATCAGCTGGAATCACATGTGTTTGTTCACTTCATTTCGTTTCTCTGTCCTTATATTCTTTCTAAAATTTTAGCAGCTGCTGTTAATAACAGGTAAACAAACTGTAATAAACTCGAATAGACAAATGAACCAAAGGAAAGATATGAAGAACAACTGGTTCAGATGAACTTGTTCCAAGCGACTCGATGCAAAAAAGACGCGTTTTTATTTTATTAGGAATCTAGAACATATTAGACCACAAAATAGTGCTAAACAGTAAATCATGTCAATCGAAATAGAATCAGCAGAGTAAGTATAAATAATCCCGCATTATATAATCTAATTGAACACACCTCTTTCAGCGTTATTCGTCTAATTCAACAATATCTGAAGGAATCAAATCTGCTTAAAACACTACAAACCTTACAAGTAAGAGTGAAGCTCCTAAATTAAGCATAAATAATAATTTGCTGCCTTCCAGGAGGAAACTGGCGTCTCGCTCAACACAGTAGACAGCGTCGACGGCTTTGTGCAGGACATATCGAATGGACACTGGGACACAGTACTCAAAGTAACACAATCGTTAAAGCTGCCCGACAAAAAGCTTCTCAATCTTTATGAGCAAATTGTCTTGGAATTAATAGAGCTGCGGGAATTGGGTGCCGCCCGCTCTCTACTCCGCCAAACGGACCCGATGAGCATGTTGAAACAGCACGAGCCCGAGCGGTACATACATCTAGGTGGGTATCTAACTTTCCCTAAGGAAACGCTATTTACGCAGTTTATCCCTCAGAGAACATGTTGCAGCGTGCGTATTTCGATCCCCGTGAGGCCTATGCGGAGGGCAGCAGCAAGGAGAAACGGCGCACGGCCATTGCCCAGGAGTTGAGTGGTGAGGTGCACGTGGTGCCATCGTCAAGGCTGTTGGCGTTGCTTGGCCAGGCGCTTAAATGGCAACAACATCAAGGTCTTCTTCCGCCCGGCACCACCATCGATTTGTTCCGCGGTAAAGCAGCCATGAAAGATCAAGAGGAGGAAATGTATCCAACGCAGCTGTTCCGCCAAATCAAATTCGGTGAAAAGTCACATGTAGAGTGCGCACAGTTCTCACCAGATGGACAGTATCTGATAACAGGCAGTGTAGATGGCTTTTTGGAAGTATGGAATTTTACCACTGGCAAAGTACGTAAAGATTTGAAATACCAGGCGCAGGACCAGTTCATGATGATGGAGCAAGCCGTGCTGGCATTAACCTTTTCGCGTGATTCTGAGATGGTTGCATCAGGCGCTCAGGATGGCCAGATAAAGGTATGGCGCATCATCACCGGGCAATGTCTGCGTAAGTTCGAAAAGGCGCACACCAAAGGTATCACCTGTCTGCAGTTCTCCCGCGACAACAGCCAAGTGCTCAGTGCCTCCTTTGACTACACTGTGCGACTGCATGGTCTCAAGTCGGGTAAAATGCTTAAGGAGTTTAAGGGTCACACCTCATTTGTCAACGAGACAACGTTTACACCGGATGGCCACAGTGTCCTAAGTGCATCCTCTGACGGCACCGTCAAGGTCTGGTCACTAAAGACCACTGAATGCGTAGCTACGTATAAACCATTAGGCAACGAGCTGGCCGTCAATACAGTGCTTATATTGCCCAAGAATCCGGAACACTTCATCGTTTGCAATAGATCTAACACGGTTGTCATTATGAACATGCAGGGGCAGATTGTACGTTCATTCTCATCGGGTAAACGCGAGGGCGGTGCCTTTATCTCAGCAACGCTTTCGCCCAGAGGCGAATTTATTTACTGCGCTGGCGAAGATCAAGTGCTATATTGCTTCTCGGTCTCTTCGGGCAAGCTGGAGCGTACTTTAAATGTAAGTACTTTTGTGAATTTATCTGTAATCAGTCTAAAGCAGTTCCTTTATTTTAGGTACACGAGAAAGACGTCATTGGCCTAACACATCATCCACATCAGAATCTTCTTGCCAGTTATAGTGAAGACGGCCTGCTAAAATTATGGAAGCCCTAATTTACATAAGCGTTCATCCGCTGGTCATATACTAAGTTTTATTTAGTAGCAATAGAGTATACCTATCAAAATATATGTATCTAATTGAACTGCCCTTTAATATTATCCAAGTGTTTGAGTAGACGATTTGGATTTTCTCATGCCCTGTATCAATATTGTCAATCATGTCTCTATCAAACAAATTGACTTTAATTAAGAATTATGCAAAGCCACAACGAGAACGCCTGCGGTAATCCGCAGTCTTCGTTTCAATTGGCGTCTGCGGTTGATTTAGTCAAGCAGCTGCACTCAAACGCTCCACTTGTGCCTCGTTCAGCCAAATTCCATAAGCATGAAAAGCGACGAAATTATTGAGAAAATACGCAACAAGCTCAAGGAGTCGGATCCCGAAAAGCGAACTGTGGTCAACACATTTCAGTTTAATTTTACGGATACCGATGGCAAACTAATTAAGAGCATGGGTGAGTTACTGCCATTGCGGTCTTATGGCCTCTCACAGTAGTCTGTCTGACCATCTCACTGTAGTTTTTGATTTCAAAGCTCTGGACATTTATGAGGGCAAAGCACCTGATGCCGACGGCCGGGTTACAATAGCCGATGAGGACTTTTATTTGGTCGGTACTAAGCAAAAGAGTTTTGAGCAAATATTGGAACAGGACAAGGCTACAGTCGACGGCGATGCGGAGGCCATAAACAAAATGCTGTCCAAATTTCGTTTGAATTCGCAAACCAAAAACTGAAACATTTAATAATGCATTTTTCTACAAACCATTCTCTTGGTGCGAACCAGTTTGATGTTATAGGCATTTCAAGCTGTATTTAAAAGCAAAAATAAAATATTCTCAACATTTTTAATAAATTTTCATATTCGACTTTGTACCATGTCATCTTCAAAGTTTCAACATTTTAAAGAAAGCGCTTAAAGTAACGTCCCTCATTAAAAGGTATTTAGTGATTATATTTAAAATTCACATTTCATATAATGTGCTAGCTGGGATAATCCGGCCTTGCGCGTGGCATATATAATATTAATTTTCTCAAAAAGCTTTGAACATGTATTAAAGGCCGATTTTTCCACACTTGCAGGTGGAATTTACCAAAACCCCGCCTTGACGTGCACCTACATCAAATAAGGTAACTACAGTCAGTCACTCAGTCGGTCAGTCAATCGGTCAGGATATATATAAATAAAATAATAATGACTGTTGGATTTGGTTTAGTATTCATTTATTTAATTACCTTTATTTATATTTAATGTTAACATGGAATTGTTTTTGTAGGTGTTTTTGTTCAATTTTAAAAGTTTGCGTTTTAATCAACTATCTTTTGCTAAAGCGCTGCGATCTATGCCAATGCATACGCTTGGGTTAAGATTTCTTTTTTTTTCATTTTGGTTTAGGCTTTACATATTTGTTTAGTATAACTTATCGTTCATTGGTTTGCCTTGCTTAATTATAGATTTAAATGTAAATTTAACACTTGCTTGTTTAATTTAACGTTGTGTCTTCTTTTTTTTTAGTAAACGCTTAGAACATTTCACGGGGATTTTGTCGTGTGTTTCTCGAACATTTTTTATTAAATTTTTATATGTTTAGTAAATAGTGTGTGTTTTTTTTTTTTAATTTAATTTTTCTTTGTTTTAATTGCTAGAACACAAATTCAATTTATTAATTAACTAATTTAATTGGGGTTCATTTAAATGACATACAACAACAAAATGTATACACTTAAACTAAATATTTATTTATTTGTATTTTGCAATTATTTAAAATAATTTACTATTTCTTATGAAATAGTTGATCTTTATGCATTTTGCAACAATTTAACAACGTTTTATTTCTTTAATGTATTGGATTTATTTATTTATGTTTTTATTAAACACCTACATATTTTTAGTTTTAGTGATTTTTACGTTGAACTGTTTAAATTTGTCTCATTTATTTAAGCTTTTGCTTTTTCAAAAGTTCTTCATGCAAAATGTACGAGCGCTATGAAACCAATAATTTTTTTTTATTTCCTCAAATTTTCATTTATTTTTTATCATATTAAAAACCCTCATTTTAAAATCATATAAACTATAATGTTTAACCTAAATATTCGTTTTGTTTCGAAGAAAAGTATAGCAGAAACTATATCGGAACTAAAGAAAACTTAGTTATTATTTTTACTCAACGATTGGCAGAAATAGTTGCATTTTCTATTCAGTGTTTCTTATCAGAGTTAGCTTTTGGATTTTAATTTACTGTATAAGTGTTTATTATCGTTCTCTTTAGCGTGTACATTTTTATAAATAGTTTTGTTTTAATCTTTTGTTAATGTCGCTGCAACATTCCATTTAAATGTCTATAAAAATGTGCTTAAATAGACAAAAATCTTTGAATTTATCGATTTTGGAATTTGTAGCGCACGACACGAGTGACGCTTTTTAATTTGTTTGTATTAATATGTTCATTTATTTATACAAATCCCTCAATTAAAGGATTTTACGTTTAACTTTTGCTGGAAGATACAGGTTTGATAGTCACTAATTCTTTTATTTATGCAATCTTCTTGTATGTATGTCTTATGTTTTTTTATTTTTTTATTATATTTGTTAAAAACTTCAATTTATAAACTTGTTAAACTTGAGCTTAATCGGTCTTGTGGCGAGAAATGTATAATTTTGTGTGTGTTTTGCATATTGTAAAAAAATGTGTAAATAAAAGTTATTCGCGCCTGTATAGATATATACTTTAGGTATTTACTTTATTGTTTTATGCCCTTTAATAAGTTGAATGTTTTTTATTTTGCCTGCGTTCAAATTTATTTATTCATTTGTGTGTGTGTGTGTGTGTGTGTGTGTGTGTGTGTGTGTCGTGTTTTGTGTGTATGTGGGTTTCTTTCTTTTTTTTTGGTTGTTTTGTTGTATAATTAATTCAATTTATGCTTCACCTAAATATTACTCGTATCAAATATAAAAATCAACAACTTTTTGCGGTCTCTTGTGGCTAAGAAAATGCTTTACATATTCGCCGCTTGGGTTTTTCATTCCTGAACCATCAATGTGCGTTTCGCAATTCTCTGTCCCCTCATAGTCGCTATGTGTATAATATAGTATGTATGTATATTTAAATGTAATTATTATTTGTTGTCTGTCTTCTTTGTTCATCGTTAATCGTTAATCGTTAATCGTTTATCGCTACTACAATGTTTACGCCCTACTGTACTGTTTACGTTAATTTGCGCCCTCTTTATAGCTTATTAAATTTATGTCTTAATCAATTCGCACTTTTGCATAATTTTTTGTCTTTTAGGTATTGTTAACTTTTAAATTTTTGTTCTTGTTGTTCAAGTTCTTTCTGCTGTCTGTCGCAGTCAGTATGTATATAGACATTCAACTCCAACTTCATCCGATGTTCGTACTCAATTACTTATATACGTACCCCTTGACATGGGCACGTCCTAATCTAAAGCGCTCTATAGCTGAAACTATCGATAAAAATGCTTATAAACATAGTTAAACGTTTGCCATTTGGTTTACATGATCGATATTATCTTCGTCGAAATGCACATCGTTTATGAATATATCCGCCGCCAGCTGATCCTCGTCCAGCTCCAAATCGTCGTCGTCATCATCGTCCTCGTCGTTGGACATCAGGCCGTGTGACATGTCAATCCCGGCTATACATATATGCGGTGGTGGTGGCACGCTGGTGGGTGGCAGGGGCGCGGGTGGAATGATCAAGGTGCCGCTGTTAATGCCGTGTAAACTGCCCGCAATGCTCGCCCCTCCACTCTGCAAATGACGTCGACTGGAGCTAAGACCAGCTACGAAATATTTAGATGGTCAAAGTATTAATGTTCGCTCTATTTCAAAGCGTTTCTTGTGTTTACCTCGAAATTATAAAAGACAAAACGAAATCAAAGGAAACCTATAATCATAATGGAAACATAAACTCAAGACAAAACATCTTGCGATCCTCTGACGCCTCTTCCCTTACCCGTTGCGCTCGTCTGCGAGTCATAGTGTGCATTCCGATGTAAACCCAATTGACGCGCATGATTTCTACGTTTTCTTCTGGAGTGACAGAGTGTGCATAGGAGACAGATTAGGGACGAGACGACGACTAGTGTTATTATAATTAGGACGTCGTGATCCTCCTCGGCCGCTTCCGTGATACCTAATTCAGGAATTGATACGTAAATAAACCAAAGTACAAAACAAATATATAGCATTTGTTAATACAGTTAGCTGTAAATATACTATACACATAGGCTTCCAAACTCTTTGATTATGATAAATATCAATGATGCTAAGATAATGTATAAATGATGAGCTAGCTAAGTAGTTGGCAGATTATGTACTCAGTGGATGTGTTGGCATTGAAGTATTTTGTTTAATAGATATTATTAGCAGATGGTTTTTATTGGGATAACAGTTGAGAATGCAGCTCAGTTTATCATTTGGTATACTAATATATGGGCATTGGGGAAAGACAATTAAGAGCAGAACATAAAAAAGCCAGAATTATAAAGAAATACTTCATCAGCATGCTTTCTGAAACGATATCCGTAGCGCTACTGAAAACTGAAATATGCAACCAAAGAGAACAAATTTGTAGATTTGATACTATAATAATTAATGCAATATCTTTCTAGAACGATGCATTAGTCAAACGTGGCATTTGTGGCTAGTTTTCAATTTGAGAGTTGTGGTGGAGTGTGTGGGTCTCTTTTGGGTGGCTGAATACTGTGCATGTCGTGATTGTGGCTGTGGGGGCGTTGTGGGCGTGTGCAGCGATTTGAGACAAGTTAATGCAGGACTCACGTGTTATATGTGACCAAAAGTATTATGCATTTTTTAATCTTATACATTAGCATTTACTTGGCGTGTAATTAATGCTTGCAAAAATTATTACAAATTGTTTTTGTTTTTTTTTTTTCGTTTTTATATTATATTATTGCAATAGTTTTCATCACTCTTCCATCCAATTGAAAATTGTTTGATTTTAGTTCGTTTTACTTAGATTTAGTTTTACGTTTTAGTTGTACGTATTCAAGACTAATGCCATAATTGCTAAAACAAATGTCTGTAGAAATGTGGGCAAATGCGTGGAGTTTGCGTCACCTGTGTAATTGTCACGTATTGTTTCGGGTATTTGTTTGAGATTATTTTAGGGAGTTTCAAATGTTAAGTTAAGTTTGTTGGTTTTTTAGTTGGTTTAAGTGGAAAATCACATCGAGAAAGTATATTAAAGAAAGACAGAGAATAAAGAGAAATAGAGGAAGACAAGTGAGAAAGAGAGATAGTTTTAGTGTGGGCGTGGCTGTTGTTATTACTGAGAGCGCTGTGATTTTGGTTTCGTACGATAAAGTATGCCATTTAACATGTTTGTGTAGGTAGAACAATAATTATGCATAGCTTAGGGTGAGTTCTTGAATGGGTGAACCTTAATTAAAAATTGTAAATCGTATGTACACAAAAATTCTGGCCATGAATGTGAAACAAAAGAAAAACAAAATCAACACCATACAGAGCTGTTCAAAATTTTGGTGCTTAGAGTTTGTAGGCCTCAAATAGTTTGAGTTCGGAGTTAATTTCGTTTTTAATTTGGTTAGTATTAGTTTAAAGTTATTTTTGGTTAGTTAGCACATTTAATTGATATAGTTTTTAGCAAGTGTTTCGTCGGGTTCAAGTTTTCGAGGCTGTTATAAACAAATGAAAAGCGTAATAAACAAAATATGCACCAATTGCATAGACTTTTGTGTATTATTATCGAATGACAAACCAAATGGAAATCATGGAATATTAACTAAAGGATTACTCATACGATTTTCATGGTCGCTCAGAGGACGCACTGAAAACACAAACTCAACGATAAAACAATACATAAGTATGTAATTGTATATAGAGTATAAATAAAAACCAAAGCACAAAGTATATCAAAAGGAAAATAAAAATTGAACTGAACCGTTCGACTCACTCACGACTCACAATGCAATTCGTCACTATCATCGCCGGGACCGCAGTTCTTGACGCCGTCGCAGCGCAGCTTGTCCGATATGCAATAGCCCGCCGCACACTGGAAGTGGTAGGTGGACTCGCAGAGCAGCCCAATGGATGGTGGTCCCGGGCCGGAGTCCTGTATCTCCGTCCATACAATGCGGAAGCCCTGAATAAATAAAGTGTTTGTTAATTTTTGTATTTTATTCAGCTGGGCATTGCCAAATGGCAAACCCCAAAAACCTCCACTTCCGCTGCCCCACAGAATATCAGAATATCAATGCCAGCCAGCCCAATGCTCACCTGTGCACCGACGGTCTTGTCGCTGGTGGTGAAACTGATGCGCGCTGTTTGGCCAGTGGATATATAGTGCCAGTGCTCAATAGGGGGCTTCTCACCGCACAGCTCCAGAGGCGGCTGATCCGAATCGACATTTACCCAGAGCCGCAGCACAGCGGCGGGACAGCCACGATCTGGGAATACACAGAGTTGAGAGTATACAGTTGTGGATGGTGATAGCTATTGTACTTACTTGCCGGATCGCCCTCGAGCCCGAACTGCTCAAAGTTGATGGACAACTTGTAGCCGGCGCGTGCGGTCATTACCCAGTTGCAGGCATTGGAGGCCATGCCACGACCAGGCGCCTTGTAGCCGGCTGGATAGTTCGGGGAGGTGATAATGCCTGAATCCTCGTTGCTGAAGTTGCCGCCACAGTCGCCCGCATCGGATTTGGCCGATTCAAAGAAATATCGCGCCTTAAAGCCGCTGGCCACGCTCTCCTGATCCGTGTGCAACGTAATGCGTAGACCAACTGCGCCTCGTGGACTCTCAACGGGCCCGGGTGCAGTTAGGCCACAATAGCGACCCAGCAAGCGATCGTTGTTATCCCGATACACCACATACATTTCCAGCCAATCCTCAAAGCAGGCACCGGAGCTGCAAGCGTTCGAGACATTGACATCGGCTGATTCCTGCAGTTGGAGCAGCACTTACCCATAAGAGCCCGCAGTGGCATTTCCATTGTTGTCGGCCTTGATCTTAAAGTGGTCGAATACAATGGTAACTTGCTCGTTATGCTCGGCCAAGAACAAGTAGGAACAGTTCGTGTCTGACGGATAGTTGGATGGATATCGCGGGCTGTTTAGCTCGCCGCGTTTCTTCGAGCTGCTCACATACGTAAAGCTGCAGGTGCCGTCCGGTGCCGCCGTGCCGGGTATTTTATATTCCGTCTCGAATATGTACTTGCCCTTAAAGCCGCGCCCCTGCAGCTCACCCGAACTGAACACCATCGCCAGACGGGGCCCATCGCTGATGACGCGCTGCGTCTCATTGCCGCACAACTCGTAATCGAATTTGTCGTACGCATCGGCCGTCTCTTGGCCCTTCAGATAGATCTTTAGATAGCCATCAGTACAATTGGATCTAGAATGAAACAGACATTGACATTAATTGCCTTTAGTTTGTCATACTGTGCTCAATTTGCGTTTGCGCACTCGCTCTTGTCCTTGTGCTCCACTTTGGGTATGTTGAAAGAGATAAACTCGAGACGCACACGCTCCAGATGCTGGGCATCTTGCATGCCATAGATGAAATATCTGGGAAGCATACGGATATGGAATATCGATATTATTTTCTTAATATCTGCAGAAGATTTGTTTATTTATACATTTATTTTACACTCACCTACACACAGTTTTTGGTATATATGGATAGGGATAGTTGGGTGAGAGCACAAAACCAGTTGATTCCTTCTTCGATAAAATCTTTTGATCACATTCTGAGCCACGTATGTGAATGCCATCATTTTCACCTGATGGACGCAATAAATGTTGTGTATTTATTGTTGCATTTTTAGATAATTAGCAAATGTAGTTTTAAGAATTTCAGATAGAGTTGAAATACATAGTACAGACAGAGGAGATACAGAAAGAAAGAGAGAGAGAGAGAGAGAGGAGAGAGGGATAAGTTGTAGATAAATTAGATTAGTGAGTGAGTTCAGTAAACCGAATGTTAATAAAATGCAACAAAAAGCCACTGAGTGGAAACGTGCATCAAACACATACACGAAGCCGTTAAATGTGTGCGTGGCGGCCATTTTGTTGAGCAATGCAACAAAATGGCCGCAGTTTTTGGGCAATGGCAACTGAAAATGAAATGTAGATTATATGGTTCATCGCTGAGTAATACTTACGTATAAAATCTAATTTAACAAAACTTTCGCTAAATTCATAAATTCCTTTAAAGCCACGATTTTGCGAATTTGCGGTGCGCGGCAGGGTATAAAAATGAACAAAAAGGCTCGACTCGCTCGAATACAATACTAAGTTTCTTTGCTGTCCGCAATATGTACCGATTAATGCTGACGAATTATCTGGACCATCGTACACTTTCACATAGTCAAATGGGCAGCTGTTTTTTTTTTTTTTTTTTTGGGTTGTATGTTGTTGTAGTTATTGTTGTTGTTGTTGTTTTTGTTGATGATGATAGTAAACAATAATTTTGTTGTAGACGAATAGATTGTAATAGCAATTGGAATAGAGCGTACATATATAAATAGAATAGAATTTACATAGAATTTAAATAAGCAATTCTTGCAGATAGTACGAAAATATGATTCGCTGTGTGTGTGTGTATGTATGTGTGTGTGTGTGTGTGCGTGTCAGTGAAAGCTGCATTTCAAGGCAAATACCGCAAAAATATCCGGAATTTGCTTTGATTTTGACTGGAAACTTTTTTGAGAGCGTGTGTGTGTGTGTGTGTGTGTGTGTGTGTGTGTGTGTGTGTGTGTGTGCGTGCGTGTGTCTTGTGTGAATTTGTACAGCATTAGGGGTACTCACTGTGGTCCACCAAAAAACAGATCAAAATCACGAAACTCTAATCTAACTCTCTGATTCGATTCACCAAGAAATTGATATGTGCATGACATATCCTTCGGATAGGCACCTGGATAGGTTGGCGATATGAGTGCGCCAGTTTTATTGATACTCATGCTAGGCGTTATCGTGTAGGAACATGGCGATCCAGCAATGGGTATACCAATTTCATATTCCGCTGTAAATGGCATTAGATTAGTGCTTGACTGTTCAATCAATCAATAGACGTCACGGGATGCACTTACATGCATTTATAAACCGAAATGTGCCCTCGAACAGGTCCGTCGACACATTCTTGTTGCTAAAAAATGAAATGGCAACGGCGCGGTACATGGAAATGCGACGACGCGGCGGTATTGCGCCACAATAGCGGCCGCCGAATGGGGAATTGATCAGCTCCGCTGGTTCGGACGATTGCACCTCCGAGTAGATATCCATGTACTCATGAACACAACTGCAAGGCGTTATCGAAGCTCAAATTAAGTTGTCATTAATTCACTAATTTATTACTCACCTTGGTAACTCACCGACGGCCGAACCGCTAAAATAATTAAAAATCAGATTAAACAAGTTCAAATGTTACAATCGGCTGTAACCGACTGAGTAATACCCGTTCACAGTAGATTTACCTGCTTCAAATTTGTATAAAAGCAAGGTTTTCTTAACTTTAATTGCGCAGAGATAATTAGCAGACGGACAGCAATTAAACAATATACTTCTCTCACTTTGCGAACGAGTAATAAAACAAATAATAAAATCAATTTTTAGTGCGGGACTTACTCTGGCGGACTTCCTCTTAAATTAAAGGATTTAAAAACTACTTCGACACGCTGACCCGGTCCTGCTAGGAATGTGTAGAGGCATTGCCGCGAATGATTCCGATGGTTATGCAGCAGCGGAGCCGTGAAGCTGCCGTTTTGTGGCCCTCCAATGCGCGAGACGAACGTCTGATCACATTCTGCTTACAGGCAAAGAGACAGAGAGAGAGAGAGAGAGAGAGAGTGGGAGAGAGAGAGGAGAGGGGAAAGAGAGTTGCCCACAAACGGGTAAAGTTTGTGTGCGGTTTTTGGCATTGATAAGTTGAGTAGTTACAAGTCGCTGCAATGGTTAGACAATAGACAATAGACACACACAACATAACAAACACATACACAAAACGTAGCAGTAAAACAAGAGTTGAACTGTATGTATATCAGCCAGGGCTGTGCGCTAGTGTGTCAGTGGCTGTGTGTGTGTGTGTGTGGTGTGTTGATGTATTTACAACTAGAAAGCGGTTTCAATTTCAACTAAGTCAACTTTCAACTACAAATAGACACTTAAATTTAACTGTTAACTACGGGCGCGGGAAGCACACACACACATCAAGAGGAGAGAGAGAGAGAGAATGAAAGAGCGAGAGAATTGAGTTTTGCTAGTGGCGCCACCTACTTGGCGATTTTGTGGGCCGCACCGGCGCCTCCAAGTATGCCACAACCGGCTGCATCCATGGCTCGCCAGCGCCCTCGCCCTCAATGCCGGGCGACTTCAAGTGCGCTGTGGCGGCCACTGAGATCGGTGTATTTATTGGGTTGGAGAGGGGAAGCGGGGGTTTTGGGTATAGACGAAAGACAAAGACATGATGTTAATGATTTGTATATGCATGTCTATGTGTGTGTGCGTGTATGTGTGCAGGAGTGTGAGTAAGCATGTGTATATATCAGCTTGACACACAACATGGAAAAACGCTTCACTGTTTATGACAGGTGCTCTGCTTTAGTTAGCCTGTCCATCAGCTGAGATAAGGTGTGTGTGTGTGTGTGTGTGTGTGTGTGGGGCAAACATGTTTTTTCCATAATGAAATTAAGCAACTACAGAGGCAACTGTTGTACCTAAGCTGCACTCAGTGAGCAAACACACGCACGCACAACGCATCAATTATTGTCGGTGCGTGCATGTGTGCGTGTGTGTGTGTGTGTATGTGCGTGTGTGTGTTGGAAATTTTAAGCGCGGCAATTGTGCACAGCTTTCCGTTTAGTGAGTTCTGCTTTGCCAAGCACGCTCAGCAAACACACATACATCGACTCTCCCACGCGCAATACGCATCGTGTGCATTTTCAAGGTGATTGCAGCTAAAACTTGCCTCAGCGTTCTCCTAACTTTGAGCGCATTTTAATCCGCTTTGCTAAACCAGTTAACCATGCTTCTACTCGATGGCTCAAATCCTCACGTACAAATTGTATACGCTCACCCCATTCATATAACATGCAGAAGAAATAATTTCTGGGTAGGCTTTGATGCTTCTGTCCGTGCGTCTGTTCGTCTATTTCTTGGTCCACACGTTAATCATAGTGTGGCAATAAGGCAACAAGAAGGGGCTAAGTATGTATACAAGGAAGTGCTATTGGTGTTACGGCAGCTTAGTGTATAGGATAGTCGGGCAGTCCCCACTGCAACTCTTTTTACTAGTTTGATTCTCGATTACTCATAGTTTTAACCGGCTTTTGATTATGATTCCGGCAACATTTGCTGCGATCGAGCTCAAAAAGGGCAGACCAGAGCATTGCGGGTGCACCTTCTAATTAAATTATATGCTGTTCATATTTTAAATGGGCAGCGCGTTTGCAATATATTTTTGGTTTTCGGTTTGGCTGAGGTATTTGGACTTTGCTTCCATTTGCCATTGTGGGTAGCAGCTGCTGCAGCATCGCTGAATTTGTGCAGCTCGAGCGCAAATTTAAATGATGCTGTCTGCAAAACATTCAAATTTAAATATAACATAAGCACAAACACGAAATATGTTATACAGATGTTTGCACAAATGTGGTGGTTAGTGGCTTGCTGTCGATTCTGTGAAACTCTATTTCAAAGGGCCGCATTCGTTAGAGATCCAGAGAAATGCTTGTAACATACATAAAGGGCGATTAACTATTTATGTTATAATAATTATTTAAAAATAAATGTAATATGAAACTATTAAGGTTTATTATTAAGCACAGGAAATGACATTGCGTTTGGCGAGCTCCCGACTAGAACCTCTTACTTGTTTTTTTTTAGTAGAGTATGGTACACTCGTAAGCTACTTCCTCACAAAAGCAAAGATTTGCTCATTAATTTTCAGAATTAGCCTATTTCATTGATTAATAAATATTGTTTGTTAAGATTCTCAGTCTTCTATATATAAACTGAACTAGATGTTTCCTAACCTGTGCAGCTCTAAAAAGTGTGCTATGAATATTGAAATGGAATTTAATCATAAGTCAAGTTAATATTTGAAAACCCATGCTTGTTGGCTGTGCTGCCCGGGATGTGAGCAAAATATATTATTGATGACAGCGCATACAAGTTTAATTGAATTTGCTTTAGCCGACAACAACATGCGCAGTTAATTATGTATTTAAATGTAACGAAAATCAGACTGTAACTGGCTTATATTTGCATTATGTGTAGACAATTTCTGTTGCGCAACGATTGTAAATGAATTGTTATGCGACGCACTCGCTTTTATCTGCATTTGTTGCTAGGATGCGTGCTGATTGCTAAACTGCAAATAAATAGCGCACATGACAAAACTTTGCTCATTAAAACGAGAACGAATCACAGGAAAAACAGCAGCAGCAGCAGCAGCAGCAGCAGCAACACCGGCAGCACCAGAAACCAGGATACCAGACCCAAGGATGCCAGAACACGCTTCTAGGACTATGCGATAAACGCTACTGGCATGTGGTACTTGGTCTAGGAGCAGGTTGGGTCTATGGGCGTAAGCCTGGGCGTGGCCATGGGCGTAACAATGTCAACCGCAACGAAATCTGAAAAACGGAAGAGACCTGCACAGTGCCGCATTCAGCAGTCGCGCCAACACCGCCAAACGGCCCTCCACCCTCCACTCCCCACCCCACTACCTGCACACACCGCCAGCCGACAGCCGCCTAGCCATGACAATGACAATGCGCAGCACTCGAAAAGTGTCAATAAATTTTGTGCAGACGCCATTTGCATTGGCATAAATATTTTTGTATTTTTGTTGGCGGCATTTGTTGTTATTGTTGTCGTTCTGCTCGTTCGTTTGTCTGCCTAGACATTATGTTAATTTACAGCACTTTGTTTCAATGCTAAACGCTTCAAATTGTCGTCGTGTGCGTGTGTATCTGTGTGGGCATATTAAATGCAGGTTTTAATTACATATTGTGCAACTAGAACGATCAAAAACCGCAAAATGGCCGCAATAATCCGCGCAACTGCCATGTAAACAAGTTGCCTAGTAATATATACACAATGAACAGGTGTAACCGACCGACCATGGCGGCAAGGTGGGACTCGGGGCACAAGGTAACCGCAGCTCTGGTCTTTTGCAAATTGCTCTCCAAGGATGCCAACAACTAAATGCGTTGAGACCGGAAAGTTCGACAAAGACGATGATGACGACATCAAATACTCCTTCAGCTGGCGGCAGACAGACGTCCCAAGGAGCCATACAACATTACGCTAATAACCTCACGCAGAAGCACACACAGCTATACAGGTGACAAGTGTGAAAGCCTTAAAAACTTGCTGGCAGCTGACATCAAGGATTGCTTATGGAACTTGGCAAGTATTTATATTCATTAAGCTTCTGCTTTTAGATATGCTTTTGTATACACCATTTAAAGAAAATATATTGCTAAATTGTTTAGTAAGAATTATCGATAATTTGGGTATACATAAATTAAAATGGGCTTTAGATGCCTATGTCTTGAATAACATTTCCCAATCTTGACATAAGAGTCGAGCTTAAGAATGGTTTTGATAATAAGAATGCCAATTAGAGCATAGAATTATGTCTTTAATTGCTGTTATCGATAGTAACGATAACAGCGATAATCGACTATCGATTTTTTACAATCTAAAATGTTGCAGTGCTAAGCAACGGTGTAATACTTTTCCATGCAATATTTGTTTATCATACAATCTGTATCTTTATCTCAAGGAGTCAAGTTGTTTGCGACACTTTTGTCGCCATTTATAATCCTCTACTACGCTTTGCTGTCTGCTTGCAGAATGCCTGTGCGAATGTCTGCTTGGGTTTGCTGCACACACACACATGCACACACACACACACAGACACGAAATTCGTGAAAATTTAATGGCCGGCACTGCTGTTGGCACTTACAGGGCCACCCGCAGTGTAGTCCGCCCCGCACCGCGCCGAACCGCAGCAGCGACACCTCAGTCGAACAGCTCATGTTACAGACAATTTGCGTTAAATTTACAAGTAACGCCGTTTGCCAAATGCCACACCACAGAGATACCGGAGCCTTATGCTTGTTATTGTTGCTGGTTCGCGTAACCGCAGCCGTTGACGAGCAGCAGCGGCAACAGCAATTAAAGTGGATTTTCATGAAAATGAGTTTTCCTAATAGTTTATTTAGCCCGAAAATAAAATAGGGCGATAAAACGCGTTGATTAAGAGACGAGCGAAAACGCCAGCTGCAGGTGAGCCGGCATTTCGCATAGCCATGAAGATAAGATGAAGATGAGCCTGCGCCAAGGATAAGAATCATGTTGCCATAGACATAGCGCTGTCACAGCAACACCGCACCTGCTGCTGTTCTTGTTGCACAGACTTGTAATCTCAGTCTCAAGCGCTGACGTACATAATTATGCATATTATATAGCAAAGGCTTAAGTGCATATTTGTGTTGCCCAGAAGAGCAGGTAAACTGAGTTTGATTTATTGCCAATTAGCGGGATGATTACATTCAAGTGCTTAAATAACGACCCCTCTATTAATTGCCACTTAAGCTGCAAATTGCACCAAAATCAGCTAAAGATTAATATGTATTCAGCACTGCTTAGATGGCTGCACTTAATATTACTCATACGCTCCGTAGCCATGTGACTAATGAATATTACGTGCTGTCCAACGATTTGCCTAGCCCTAACAATTCATTGCACTGGCTTCTGGCAGCAGCTTTAATGTGTCTTAAACACTGACAAGCTAAT